ATAGGATCCTTGCTTTATTGTATCCATATGTTGTAAGGAGATTATCTTGTCCTTTCATTATTCTTATTATTTGTCCTTTTCACACTAATCGTGAGTAGACTTGGGCCATTGCATTTGATGTTGATCTTATTTGCATATTAGTCCAAGAACAACAATTGCTCTTTGTTGTGGCATTGCTGGAGAAATACAAATGTATATACCCGTTTCCCACTGTCTAGTCGAGGAGATCCCTGAGGCATTTGATTCTTGTGGGATTCCCACACATCTTACAGGATCATCAACAAGTGGCTGGGCCTCTACATTACTCAGAAAAGCTTCCGACAGTCTCCGATTCAAAAGAAAACAAATAAGAAAGGATGCATTGATTATTTTGGGTTGATCTTATTTGAATTTCCAGTGAAATTCAAACTTGAGACCTTACTCGAGTATTTAGTTCCAATGGAATTAAATGAATTTCCCAAAATGCCTCTTTGGGTATTAGTTGCATTTTTATTTGGATCCTTGTACATTCAAACAGTTTCTAATTCAAAAGACAACAACACGGAGAAGATAAAGTGATTAAGCAACACCCAAATAGTGGTTGCAGCAGATCTCTCTCTCTCATTCTCTTTCCAGTTTGGTTGACCATTCTTTTTGTTCTTAGGTCTTTGATCTGCTTTCTTCTTCAATGAAGCAGACCATGATCTCCTACACATTATGCCTTGCTCCCTAGGGCAACCTTCTTTGTTTCAAATCCACTCTTTTCGTTTTGGTTTTAACTATGCTTATGATTACCTGTCTTGCCGAAATTCACTTGCCATATGCAAGTCTTCTGGTGTGTGCCGACGGAAATTTTATTTGCGCAATCAGATTAGAGTAGATAATTTCCTAAACTTGATTCCTTATCGAGTGCTTACTAAAATAGATGTACAGTTATTTCATTCCATGCTTACAATCCACAAAGTTAATTCTTGTGATTTACTTATGCTATCAAAATCTGTTTGATTTCCTATACCCGTAGGTACCATTGTATACCTGAATTCATGTGATTTCATGTCTCTATGGTTATATTGATTATCTTACCTTTGCTAGCCATGTGTGCCCTCACCTTTGTTCATCAATTCGTGCGCAGGTATGGATCGGTGATGTCGATGCCCATAGAGCCATTACCTCATGCATGATGTGTGTTTTGTGTGTGCCAGTTTGTCGGTTAGTGAGTGATAATATTCTGATGAATGTTTCATCAGTGTAGCAAGTGATCAACAATAGACAGCTCTTACTTTTGGATTGAAGTGCAGATCTTGCTAATGAGTTAACTATTGACTCATTTATGTATTCTTATGCCCCAATGCTTCATTAAGTATTCTTATTTCTGCAACATAAAATTATTTCTTACCATCTTCTATTGTTTTCCTCTGTTTTTATAGTTATTCAGAGAACACCACATGTCACATGAATTCTAGACTACTTGTCTACAGTTAACTGGTTAGAATCAGTTTCTTGAGTTTGCTTGCTTACCATGTAATATTTCACACTCACTAATTGTATTATTTCACGGTTGTCAATTGTTAGAACCAGGTCTTGAGTTTGCTTGCTTAATCGTGTCCCTGTGTAATTGCTCACCAAGCTCGCCAATGTGAGTTTGTCCCACATAATGGAGTTTCTATGAATTTTTGTAGTCCAGAAATTCTTGGAAATTCTCTTGTTGCTGTTATAATGTGGGTTTGTTCGGCTTCCTTCTTCATTAAAGGTGAGTCATTTCTTTCAGGTTGGCCAACATGATGTTGTTTCTGCTGCAAAATAATTCATTATGCAATTATGGTTAGGTTGCCCTTTTTCCTTCATAACCGCGTTTAATGGGTAGCTGTTATGCTCACTTTCCTCAAAGCAAGGTTGTGTAGCCGTGCTATTTTGTGCTTTAATAAGTAAGCCGACACCAAATCAGTAATCATGTGCTTCTGCTTTGTTGGACCAAAGTCACTATTTTGTGTGTGTTATCTTTACTCTTTAGCCATTCCAAAACATTTATCTGATTTTGCAGTATTGCAGACCATAGAATTACAAGTTGACCATATTTTTGAATGTGTGAACCTCACATAGATGTCGTGCGAATGCAGTTTGACAAGAGTCGTAAAACCAATGGATAATAAGAGACTGTTTGATGGTGAAAGAATTTATGCTCGTGGTGACTACCTCAAGTGTGCCAGAGTAAGAATTTGTCACAATTTAGTTTAAGAAGACTATATTATAGTTCTGCAATATTACATGCTTATTACATGAAGAGGACCCATTTGGCAACACTTAAATCATTTTATGGCGCCTTTGTTTCTGATCTACAAAACAACAACTTTTACCGAGGCTTGTTATTTCTAATTCATTCTTTTTCCCTGCTTGCTTATTGTAACACAAGCCACCATGACTCTAATATCAATCATACACACCTGTTCGATATACTCCCTATGCCGTGCAACAAGCCAAAAGTAATCCATTGGAATTTATAGATGCTTACAAAATATGCAGCCCTATTGGTAAGAAAGGAAAACCAATTTTCAGATGCCCTTGTTTTCTCCATCGAGATTAGCCTTCATAAAAATCACATTCTTATTTTCCTTTGCAAAACATTTTGTCGCCCTTCTGTCTACCATACACAACCAATCATATAGCTCCTTGACTATGCTAAACATTTTTTTTATGCCAACAGAAAAAATGTGTACTACTAAATCTCTGTGCAACGCCTGCGCAGAAATAATTTTTTTCATTAACAAACATAATAACGTGGTTCTGCCCCGCAAAAATAATAATAATAATGTGGTTCTGGCTTTTGTAGCCGCAAAAAAGTGCTCTCCATCAACTAAACAAGTTTCTGTAAAATAGACCAGCCTGCTTAATACATTGGCTTTCGAAAAATTTCACAGCCCATCACCAGCCCATAAAAATCTTCGCCTGACCCTTTTTAGAAGGAGACCACAGCTCCCATTAAACTCAGCCGCTCCAGATTCCTTATCCAGATCCACCGCCGGACCACCTACCCCATCCGCATCGACAGCGACCGACCTGGCATCGACCGGCTGCTGGAGCCATGGCCAAGAAGCCGCTCCGAAGTAGCACCGCTGTCCATCGTCACGGCGTGCTACCGACGCATTCGCTCGCAGCACGCCTGGCTCAAGGACTCACCAACGAACAAGCCACCTCTTCCCTTCTGCATACGCGTTCCAACCGCCAGATTTACGAGGTAGGATCCAACAACTGCATTAGATTCGTACAGACTAGCCAAGATTTCTCTTACAGAATCGTTAAAGAGGCAAATCAATTTATCTAATACTTATATAGTTATTTTTATGAGAGATAACCTAACACTTACAATATCATCTCAAAATTTCCAAATAGATCCTGTACATCTTCCATCAAGCACTATTTTTAGATGCTATGCTGGAAGACACTGTAGCTCCAAAAATCTGTATGTTACGCCTAGCCTATAGGAGATGTTGTTATAGAGACTGTGACTGAGTTTTCTCGATCTCTGCAACGCTTGCCAGAGAGCACTGTCAAGAGATATGTTTTTCAGACTCATCTTGCTACTTTTTCCGGTTTATTAACATATGAAATCACCATAATTTTTGCCATGTCTCGGTTCTTAATATGATGCTCAGAAGCACTATCCCATCCTGATTATTCGCATACAGTTTATTGTTTCGCTCAAGATCGTCTTTGAGAACTGGCCAATCTTCAAGTCAATGAAGAGCACTCACATGGCCAAGAGCCATGAGATCTTCATCCACCAGACCTTGAAAATGAGGCGAGAGAGATCTGCCCTCACCTTGAAAATGAGGCGAGAGAGATCTGCCCTCTACTGGGTTCGATGCGATGCCGTCGATTTCACCCACTGGCATTGAGCGATATGCTTCCCCTCCCACATAAAGAAATCAGATTTTTGAGGGCTAGGATTATTTATTAAATATAATGACCGCCTTTTACTACTAATGGCCTGTTAAGTCTGTGTGCATCACTGTTAATCATCACAACTAATACCACGGTCTAATATATCAGCTTAATTATTCTATTACTTCTTTCTAGATGGCTGCTGTTAAACAAGAGGAGGTAGACACAACCAATGATACCAGCGGTGGCCAAATTACCCATGGTAATTCTGAAAAATGTATTTATAATTGTTTATAAATTGCAAAGAATGTTTCTTCTTCTTCGCTGATGCATGCTGTTTGAAAAGTTTTTTGTATCACACTTACATATGCAAGTTGATCAAGTATGTAATAAAACAAACTTCTTTCAGGGTCCAATAGATCTTGTGTTTGCTATTCATTAATGCTGTAATTTATTTGTTGTTACATGTGCAAGCACTGCTTACTACTTCCAGCTTACCATATACGATGGATACCATTTTCTGCCTTTCACTAATACACACAAGCTAATTAGCCCCTCTGTTTGTTTATGTTATCCTCTATCTGCTGTTGCAACCTTTTACAATGTTCTCCTTACCTATTCAACACAGACGAACCACTATGTCGGAAGCACAATAAGTGATATGAGTATATTCATTGCCCACGCAAAGCAAGCTCAATCCAAAAGTTCAAAGGCAAGAAAATCCATCTAAAGCCCGGAAAGTTCATTCTCCGTGGTAAGAACTACATTACTCTTCCCATTCCATCAGCTCTCGCAACAACTACTGAAAAGTATAATTTTGTGCAATTTAACATAGGTGAGCCTTGCAAGCACTACTTAGATGAGTTTAGTCGCCACGTTGCGTGGGGCAACACAGTTAGGCTCTACAACCATACTGTTCGTGCACTGCAAAAGATCATCCGCAGCACCACCACGCCTAATAACTACTATGTGTGCCACATGACAGAAACATTTGCAACACAAGGCAAAAGAATGGTAATCCTTCGCAATTATTCTGTTCTGTTTCATATAATAGCATGGTATAAAATGATATAGTGACTAACCTTTACTACTGTTTTCAGTACTTTAATGTCCACTTTTCTATGGGTTCCCTTTTCCCACACATGGATGCTGACCACGGTGAACTTACAATCACAACTGGAGATGGAACAACCACTGTCACGGCCCGCTTTATCAAGGGAGTTGACAAAAGGGCCACCATCACTAAAGGCTGGAGCGACTTCTTCCGTCGGACCCACATGAACGAAGGGCAAGCATATGCTTTCGGCTTCAAATGCACTTCCAAGGGATTGCACCTGATTGTCTACTCAATATAAGCAAGTTGCAGGAGCCCCTTTCTATATAACATAGTATTAGTATAAATGCCTACAAAGACATCTATGTTTATCATCCTTTTCGATCTTATGTAATCCCCTAAGACAATGTTGTGCATTTAGCTATCGATTATCCGCTACTTAGACTTCTCTATCGCATGCTTTTGAAACAACCATGATAAAGGAAATATATGCTCCTTCAAGTTCATATCCAAAGGCCTCTACATGATTATTTATCCAATCTAAAAAGATCACAAGGGTCCTTTCCTGCATGACTTGGTGTATCATTTCCAATCTTATGTATTTACTGCATGTAGTATATGAGCTATTCTTTTTGAAAAACAATATGTTAATGCACACTCTTACACCAATTGGCTTACATTTGGCCTTTGCGCCATGGGCGCAACGGGTCATCTAGTGAAGAGAAATCTTTCTCGCACTCACTTGAGCACAACTCAAGTTGTTACAACTATTATGCAGCTGGCTATGTGCGAAACAATATTACATTTCTACTTCAGTACATCCCCTCTAAACACATCGACGCTGAAGATCATCCGATACCCCTTCATAACGGAGGGCATGATAGGCATTTAAACAAAATCCTCCCCACGCTGGTACACGCCGTGCAACTTTATGCATACTCCCGTAAGAGCATCTCCACTCACCTCCCAACAGCCCCCAGGCCATTTTTTATCGCCGACGCTAAAAAAGGGCCCCAGTCGCGCCCTTAGAAGCCCAAATTTCGCCGGGAAGGACCAAAATTGGCGCCGGTGGACCCAGGTCGAACACAACACGCTGGGGCCCGACAGGGGCGCTGGGCAAAAGAAAAAAATGCGCAAAACCTTCCCGCACCGAATTCCCATCATGTGGGCCCGTCGAGTCAGCGGATGCATCATCGTCCTCAGCGCCCTGCCTCGGCTCCCACGCGAATCAATGCGAAGGCTGCCGTTGGTCAACCTTCCATTGATCACGGCCGGAACAGTGAAGGCGTCCCGCCGCGCGTCCCGCGCCCTTTCTGCCACGCGTCCACACTGCTGCCACCCCCTCGCTGCCATAAAAACCACCCATCATTGCCGTTGGCCGCACATTCGTCTCCCACAGCTCTCTCCCCGCCGACCACCTTCTTCCCCTTGACGCCCTTTGCTCTCTCCTCCTCCTTCCCAGATGGCTGAGCGTTTCCCCGACGATGGAGCGGCGGCTAACAGCTTCGATCGTCGCCATCTGCATGAGTGGGAGGCCCGCCTCCTCTACGAGGCCAACTACCCTACGCCACCCGACATGCGCGTGTCGTGCTCATGGAGGCTCAGCACCGGCGGCGTTCCCGTGCCCCCATTTCCCTCAGATGCTGAACACCGCACCGAGATCGCGCGGATCCAGGCGGTGCTGCCGGAGGAAGCACGACAACAACCGAGGTACGCCCCAGACAGCCACGCGCTATGGATGACGTACTTTCAGCGCCGCCACGTCGACCAACTCGCGTCCATGAACGGCGCACATGCGCCATGGGGGCGCCACAACTCCGCCGGCCGCCGAAAGTGGTGGGGCGTCCCCGGGCGCATGATTCACGCCATCCTCAAGGACATCGAGGGCGGCAATGCACTGGAGTACCCGCCGCCCACTTTCTCACGTCGGAGCGGCGACAGCTCTTGGCTGCCAAGGCACATGGCGGGAGCGTGGTTCTCTTCCTCCAGCTCCTACTCCTCTGGCACGATGACGTTGCTCGCCCTCATCAAGGCTGAGCCCCAGGAGACACCGGAGCGCCGGCGCAGCCGCAACGGTAGCCTCGTCATAAACGAGGGCCGCCGGCAACCTTATCCTCCTTCCCGCAGCCATCTTCGCCTGGTCAGGCCAAAGAAGGAGCCGGTGACGCCGCTTGTCATTGTCAAGCACGAGCACGCCGACATAGCCGCCGACCTTGAGACGGGCCTCAAATGGGCGTGGGACGACTATGTCTGGGAGAGATGGAGCGCCAGCGCCGCGCCCTTGAGGAGATCACCGCTCGGCGCCACGGCCGCAACGAGGGAGGCATCATCATCCTCGAGGACAGCAACAAGGAGGTGCCGGCGCCCACCAACCCCATCCTCCAAGGCGACCCAGGACAAGGCTGCAGCAAGGACGGCGACGGCATGCAGGATGACGATGACGACAATGACGACGACTACACCGCCTTCTACAAGCTCCTCGGCATGCAGTAGGCTCGGGGCGACGGCGGCAACGTAGTTCTATTTTTTCTAAGTTTTTAAGTTGTGTCTTTAATTCTGTACAAATATCATATGAGACCGCCTGAATTTTGCCCAAATTTGTGTCATTTTGTACTAAATTTAGCCGGACTTGTATTTTAAAAATGTCGTCTAGGGCCAACTTGGTGTGGCGGTTGGGAAACAGACCTCCCCACAGTGAAAATAGTGCCGGCTAGCCACCAGAGGGCGATATTTCAGTCCCTGGGGCGCCGGACAGCTGGAGATGCTCTAAGCGTTCCCCGCGTTCACCTCCACAACTGATCGACACTATCAACTTATTGTGCAGCGGTTCCCCACACAGCGAGCATGTAGTTAGTTCCCCACACAGTAAGCATGCAGGTAGTTCCTCACACGACAAGTCGACGCCTACCACAAGCATCTCCAGCCTGCACATGTGGGGATTCCCATGTGCCCATTAATGAGGCACAAGCGCCCACCACCCTCCCCCTCCCCCATCTATCATCTTCCATGATTGCTAGTACTCAAAGCATATTCTTAGAACAAATGGCATCCATCAAACACAGAGAAAGATAGGAGCTTAATATTTTGCCTCCCAACTAATTTATCATAAGATAATTGTCAACAATAATAAATCATGGTCAAATATATTTTACGGGCCATATGTGCCTAAATCTTTCCCCACCACATGGTGCTTGCCAACTATAGAATACTTGAGGTTGAATGAGGACGTATACTATTGACCCTTTGCATAAAAGTAAATAATGAAAAGTAAAAGATAGACCCTTCGTAGAGGGAAGCAGAGCTTGTCATGCGCTTTTTATTGTTGGATGCCCAAGCTCTTAATGCAAAGGAACGTCACGTTATATTGCCCCTTATGATAGCAACCTTTATTATGCAGTCCGTCGCTTTTATTACTTTGCCATCACAAGTTCGTACAAAGCTCAATTTTCGCTTACAATAAAAGATCAAACATATTTAGGAGCAATTTTTATTGCTTTATGCACCAATGACAACTTACTTGAGGGATCTTATTCAATCCATAGGTAGGTATGGTGGACACTCATGGTACGAAACTGGGTTTAAGGGTTTTTTGGATGCACAAGTAGTATCTCCACTTAGTACGAATTTTGGCTAGCAAAAGATCCTAGGCAAACACCACATGTTAGAGGATCCATGACAATATAACTTCTATGCAAATATACACAACCATAACTCATTACGTTGTCTTCCTTGTCCAACTTCAACTAATTTTATCAAGTTTGAAAATAATTAATGGGCATTGACAATCATAGAAGATGTCCAAGATAATATATTTGTATGTGAAAGTTCTCTTCCTTATACTAATCATTCATGAATTGCTTGTATGACCAATATTGTGATTGTCAAGCTTCAAAAGATTTCACTTTCTAAACCCAATGTGAAGCTACTACTAGGCATGATATGAACATATAATTTCAGCTTCATGATATTCAATTCATTCAACAATTTACTCATAGGATATAAGTGAAGCATGAGAGTAAAACACAAACTACTCCAAAAAGATATAAATGAAGATCAAGAGAGTAGTTAAGTAAATAGGTAGCTATGTGAGGACTCTCTCTTATTTAAAACAAATTTAGATCTAAGTATTTTATTAAAACAACAAGCAAAGCAAAATAAAATGACATTCCAAGAATAGCACACATCATGTGAAGAAGCAAAAACTTAGGCTCAACCGAGGCTAACTGATAATTGTTGATGAAGAAAGGTGGGATGCCTACCAGGGCATCCCCAAGCTTAGATGCTTGAGACTTCTTGGAATATTATCTTGGGATGCCTCGGTCATCCCCAAGCTCAAGCTTTTGTGTCTCCTTAATTCCTTTTATACCATGATTTCCCTAAATCTTAAAAACTTCATCCACACAAAACTCAACAAGAACTCATGAGATGAGTTAGTATAAGTCAATGCAAAAACCTTATCATTCTCTACTATAGAAAATCACTAAAATTATTATTTAACATTGCATATTTAATGCCTCTTCATATTTAATACTTCTATCCTCAAATAGAATCATTAAACAAGTAAACATATGCAAACAATGCAAACATAACAACAATCTGTCTAAACAGAACAGTCTGTAAAGGATGCAGCAAGGTCCAATCTTATTTAACTCAAAAAATTCTGAGAAATTACCAAACTGTAGAAAATTTATCATAGCTTATTGTGAAAAAAAATTCAACATGTTATCACATTCCGACTTTTCTAGAATTCAGGCACTAGCATATAACTTTCTGTTTTCAAACAACCACATATAGACTTGCAAAATAAGCATGGTAAAGGCTATACTTGCCATTTTTATTGAAATAAAGGATGCAAAACATTATTCTAAATAACAACAAGCAAATCTTAACAAAATAAAATGATGCTCCAAGTAAAACTCATACCATGTGAGGAATGAAAATATAGCTCCAAGTGAGGTTACCGTTAATGTTGGAGACGAAAGAGGGGATGCCTCCGGGGCATCCCCAAGCTTAGTTGCTTGGATCTTCCTTAAATGTTACCTTGTGGGTGCCTTGGGCATACCCAAGCTTAGGGTCTTTTCACTCCATATTCTCCACATGTCGATATCTCTCACCCAAAACTTGAAAACTTCAATCACACAAAACTTAACGGAACTTCGTGAGATAGGTTAGTATGATAAAGAGCAAATCATTCAATTTGGTACTATCAAAGACAAGATTCATAATTGTTCTCACACAATGCCTACTGTACCATATCATTTCTAAAATTTATATTGATCAATATAAGCCATAGAAACTAGA